GCGTGCATGCTCGCTTTTGGGGCATTTTGGGGGCCATTTTGGGGGGGGCTTTCCCAGCCATTTTTGGCTTGAAAAAAGCCCCCCAAACAGCCTGAAAATGACCCCAAAACGGCCCTGTTTCTTGGCCGATTTTTTGGCCATTTTCCAGCACTCCTGCACCCACGAAGACCAGCTGGCAATGGCGCACATGCCCACTGAGAGGGCTCTGCAGGGCACCTCTGGCACATGTGGCATATATTTGCCATCCTGGTCCTATGGCCTGTGTCCAGGTAGTCCTTTAGGGACTTAACGACCCCCAACATTCCATTAATAAGTGAGACAGTTAACCAAGCTCAGATCATGAACGCTTCTGACCATGACCAAATCGGGTTCTGACCAAAACATTCACAATTATTATTATTTTTTTATATGATTTTTTTTTAATAACAAAAAACAACAGATAAAACCTTTTTTCAGTTATACAGTGTGTCGGCTGGGTACATATCATGTGCACAATATTTATACATTTCTTCTTGAGTTTACACTCATATTCTAAACAACATTATACATCATATTATATCATTATTACATCATCATTAGATTTTTTTATTTCAGTTTCAAGCTATCCTTAAAGGCAAATCCCAACTTTTACTAAATTATATTCATGTTGTAACTTATTCAAAGATAATCAGTTATAGTACTGTATATCATTATTATTGCAATATCCTTTCATTTCTTACTCTACTTTCTCACCATCCATAAAATAAACCCCAAATCTTATAATACTCCTTGCTCTCCAATTGCTAACGTTAATCTACTCATTTCTGAACATTCCATTATTTTCTTAAAAAACCAATTATTTTTTTTCATGGCTGATTTTCCCTTCCACGCCATTTTTTTGGGGGGTAAGCGTCAAATTTCCAAAATGAGGTTCGGGTGCCTGACCAAATCAGGTTGTGACCAACATTATGGAATGAATTATGGTCATGACCGGAGATTCTACTTCTGGTTCTCAGTGTACGACCACAATGGAGACCAAAACCTCTGTGGTTAAGTGAGACGTTGGTTTAAGCGAGCGTTGTCCCATTTTACGAGCTTTCTGGCCATGGTCGTTAAGTGAATCACTGCAGTTGATGAACTAGTAACCCTGTTGTTAAGGAAATCTGGCTTCCCCATCGATTTGTCAAAAGGTCGCAAGAGATCACGTAACCTTGGGACGCAGCAATGGTCATAAATATGAAGCATCCGAATTTCAATCACACGATTATGGGGACACTGCAAAGTTGTAAGTTGTAAGTGTGAAAAACGGCCATGAGTCACATTTTTCAGTGCTATTGTAACTTTGAATGGTCACTAAATGAACTAAATGAATCTTTATTTTCATTTAGAGCAGGGGTCTTCAAACTTGACAGCTTTGAGACTTGTGGACTTTCAACTCCCAGAATTTCTCTTCCAGTCATGTTAGCTCAGGAATTCTGGGAGTTGAAGTCCACGGGTCTTGGACTTGCCAAGTTTGAAGACCTTGATTTACAGTACAAAAATGAGATAAACTCTAATTAAACAATGTCGGAAGTTGAGGACTGCCTGTATATAACTCATAAAGTGAGCTAGATATTCTTGCCTACTACAAAACTCCAATTTAACATAGCTGGTGGGATTAGTTCAGTGTGTCCATCGCACCCAGGAAATGGAGTAAACCTTGGGTAAATTAATCCCAGGAACACGTACAATGGGAACGAGATCGTAGCTAAAATATATCAGCTGAGTCCACCCACGGTCTAATGGTCATGTGATTTGATTCTTCAAGGGTTTGGGTGACTCCAACCATTGTGTTCTCTAAGCTATGGTGGATGGCCATGTGTTGTGGTGTGACTCCAACTAATGTTGGTCAATTGAGCAAACCCAGGTTGAACTAGCTATGGCTTAGCATAAAATATGAACCTTTGTAGAACCTCAGGCTATGATTTAAGGTCTCTCTCTCTCTCTCTTCCCCTGTGTTCAAGGAAGTCTCTGGTGTTATAAAAATTGCCAATATTTTCTTGCTTAATAAGATGGTGAGAAGGTTGAACTTGCTGTAGGACTTCCCATATCTTGAATCTGCTGAATCTCAAGGCCACCTTGGCACTCAAAACCAGCAGGGTTTGGGTTCATCCAAGCATGTTCCAGGAGTGGAAATTCATCCTCCATCATATCTGTACTTGTGAATGACAGATGTCATTCATTCCTGCAGAGACACGGGATGTCATTGCAATGTCATTCGCATGTCATGTGAATATCTCTCTCTCTCTCTCTCTCTCTCTCTCTCTCTCCTGTGTGTTTGTGAAGGATGGGTGACATTCCACTGACAAGGAATTTTCTGGAAAGATTTGCAAGAATTCACTTTTGAGGAATGGCCTTTTCAAAGGGCTGCTTTCGGAAAAGGTTTAATTCATTATTCCTTTCCCAAGACTTCGTACATTTACAATTTGGGGGTGAGAATGAATGTATCTGTGATGGCAAAAGGCATGTGTATGTGTTTAAAGTCCTAAGGAATGTTCTTTTTTTAAAAAAAAAAAAACTTATCTGTGGATCCTGGTGTATACTTGAGACTTGTGGGCTGGAAACATTTAAGAGAGCAGTTCTGATGCCTAGCAGTGAATTAGCAATGCATAGAAATGCTAGCCTGTCTCTTATTTGCACCAGCTGACAGTGGAGTTGTGTAGCAGAGATGCTCTTATAAAGACACAGAGGAAGAGAACTATATGGTAACTTGCTTGTGCTTCTATTTCCCATCTGGAGTGGGGTGGAGGTTGAAGAGCGAGCTAGGGGTTAATCGTGCTGCAGCTTCTAGAACCATTCTCCTTTCCTTCTGAAGGATGCCCTCTGCTATTTCACCGGTGCCTTGTAAGAACGAGCCATTGATTAATTCTGGTTTGAATATGTTTATTTCAAGCTTTTCAAATTCTCTTTAGAGAGGCTGAGGTTTAAGCTCATCCGTCTCAGCGATGCATGTTATCGAGGGAGGATCTTGCAAAGCGTGTTTTGAATCTAAGGAAAGGGGGTGGGGGTGTAGGAGCTGGGGATATTGATCATCAATTGATCGCCGAACAGAAGGAAGGACATTAGCAGAAAAAAGTCCTTGAGGGTCTTTACAAGGCAACCTTCAGGGAAGGCTTCAGAATTTGAGGTCAAAGTATGTATGACATGAGGGTGACTATCCAAACGTTAGCGAGCCAGAGGTGAAACTCTGCAGTATTTTTCCACCTGGGAAACCTCCTATGCAGAACGGGGACGTTTTGCTTTTCCTTGCGATGAACGTTGGCTTCTCAGCTTCAGGGAGCTGGTTGAAAACCTCCTGCATTTCTGACTCGTGGACCCAAGCCAGCTGAATCCCGACGATCCCGTCCTTCCAATGGTGACGGAGCTGCCTTGACGGGTGGGGAGAAGAGGGGATGTTTTGAAGATGAGGAGGCGTGTTGCCGTTTGGCGCTCTCGCATGGCCTGAGGTGGGCAAGGCCCTCCCCTGGGAGGAAATCAGGTTCCCTATCTCTCTGTTCTGCTGTGGTTTCTGGGAACATGTTTGATGTGGCAGGTCAGCAATCCTGAACGGCAATGATACAGGTATGGCTTTCCCACTGCTTCCTCAGAGCGGGTGCTGTGGTGTCACACCCTTGGACTTCTTAGAGCATTGTGTGTGCCTGAGTGGGCGACTCCGTCATTGGTAGACCCGTACTAGCGGTGGTGCTGAGATTTGTGCTTCTCACAAGTTTTCTTCTGTTGAGCGAGAGGCTCCTAGTTTCCGACTTCTGTCTTGGAGGGTTTGGGAAGGCCTTTAGGGTTTCCACGGGGACAGTTTGGGCTGACTTACTTGTTGGATGGGGTTCTACCATGGTGTTCTGTTACACCTCTTTTTTGTTTTTCCTGGCTTCTTCTGGGTTGCCCAACATTCCTAGAAGAGAATTGTAGAATCATAGAACGATGGCGTTGGAAGAACATTGAAGATAGAATGGGAGGGCTAGAAGGGACCTTGGAGGTCTTCTAGTTCAGGGGTCGCCAACCTTTTGGACCTCAGAGACCACCAAACTCATACTTTTAAATCCCGCAGACCAGAGACCCTGGGAAAATCCCCCAAAAAGTCTGCAGGAAAAATCCCCACCCCATTTTCTTACCAATCGATCGTTCTTTATTTGGGATCGCAGGATACCATCTCCAGCTCCATTCTCGGGAGGGGAGAGAGAGAGAGAAAGAGAGAGAGAGAGAGAGAGAGAGAGAGACTTTTGGCTTCATGCAAGGAAAGCAGCAGAAGCCGCAGAAGTTTTTCTTTCTCTCCCCCAAACTCTGCCAGAAAGGAGTCTTTTGTGCCGGCACAGCCTCTTGGAGCAGGAGGCCTTGCAGGGTCCCAAAGACTCATTTCTGGCGGAGTTTGGGGGAAAGAAAGAATGACTTTGGCTGCTTTCTTTGCGTGCAGCCAAAAGCAGAAGAAGAAAGAAGCGGAAAGAAGCAGCTCGGTGGCCAGGCCAGGCGCGTGGGGCACATGGGGCAAGTTCCCCCCCTTCACTCTTTCTCCCCTTCTCTCACTACCTCCTGTTGTTCACAATGCAAGTGACCCAAGCCTTGTCTTCCGGCGGGCCATGTGGGTGGTGCAGCCTTGTGTTCCCGGCCCACAGGTTGGCGACCCCTGTTCTAAATAGTCTCATTCATTCCAGCTAAAATATGCAAAGACTGACTTGGCTAAAGCTTTGTTTTGGAAGAACTGGAAATGAAGATTGGACGGAACGATGTATAAAGTAGTCCTTGACTTACGACCAATCATTCAGCAATGGTTTGATGTTACAAGGGCACTGAAAAAAAGAGACTTAGGATTGGTCCTTGCATTTAGGATTGCAGTATTCCCATGATCAAAATTTGGGAGCTTGGCAACATGTCCCAGGAGTCATGTGCAGTCACGTAATCGCCATTTGCTACTTTCCCAGCCAACTTCCAACAAGCAAAATCCATGGGGGGAAAGCCAGATTTGCTCAACGGCCATGTGATTCGCTTAATGGCTGCAGTGGCTCACTTAACAACCGTGGGAAAACCGGTCACAAAATCGGGCGTGACTCACTCAACAGTTGTTTTGCAGAGCAATGGGAAATTCTGGCTTCCAACTGGGGTCAGAAGTCAAGGATTCCCGTGTGAACTTTATGGCTTTATGGCCACAAAAACCAAATCTCTCTGGCTTTCTTTCGCCTTCCCAGGAAGAAAGCAAACAGATCCAGGCTTGGCAGAAATCCAGCTCTCAGTCAGATTCTCATGATGATGAGGTTTCTCCTCCACCGCCCAATCCAGTGGTCAAAGCCCGACATCGAAGGGGAGGGGTCAGTGCTGAGGTCTACACAGAAGAAGACGCAGTGTCTTATGTCCGGAAGGTAACACTATATTGTTATTCTTGGATGGTTGCTATAAATGATGCATGGAAATTGTGTTTCAGGAGACATCAAAAGCTAACTTAAAGCAGGAAACGTGAGTTCTAGTCCTGCCTTAGGCATGAAAGTTAGTGAATGACTTTGAGCTGATCACCAGGAGATGGTGAGTTCTAGTTCTGCCTTAGGCATGGATGTCCTTGATCCAGTCCTTTTCTCTCTGCCCTGGGAAGGAAGCAATGGCAAACCAGTCCTGAAAAACCTTGCCAAGAAAACTGCAGGATCTTTTCCAGGTAGTCTCCAGGAATCCAAAACTGCCTGGAAGGTACATTCATACATCAAAAGACCGACTTATTTAGCAAAGCTAAATTTTCTTATGGATCAGGGACCCCTATTAGCCTTTGAATGTTGGGCTGAGATGTTATCAATTTGTGTTTTTATAAAAGAAGAGTACCCAGATGGTCTCCAGAACATCTGCCCCAAGAAAGCTTGGTCGGGTCCCCAAAAATAGCCATTAATGCCCAGAAGGATTTTTACGGATAGTTTCTGTGATGTTCGCTCCTGATTTTTTAATACCAAATCAAATCTGTATTCTGTCCCAGCATTTCAGTGAAGTAAACCTGGCAACTGCCCAACTTTCAGAACCAAGTTCAATAATTAATGCATCTCGCTGCTTAAGATGCATTTGAAGAAATAATATTAAGTTCTGCCAGATGCTGAATTATTTGCTATTCAGCCTTTAAAAAAAAAACATTCCCATTAGATACGCCTTACAAGCTAATTCTGATTTGCTTCTGGCCCACCCCCGTTGGTTCAATTACGTTAGAAGAAACCCTGATAGGTTAAATCAGCATTTTCTAGATGGATGTTTGATGCTCATGGCACCGTTGCCTTTTATTTGAGATGAAGCAATTTCATAATTCTCTCAACGGTCTCTCAAAGCCATTTTTGGAAGCTTAACTCGGGTTTGGAATTATGGAGTGGCTTTGGGATCGCTTTTCTTTGATTAGTCCAAATACAAAACTCTGAATTAAATGTCTTAATTTCTGGCTGTTGTACATTAACATGGCTTTCCTACAAAGATTGCAACCGGAGCCTTGGACGGATCTCTTACTAATCATCTGGAGTTCTGCTCGCTCCTAATTTTGGCTTCTGCTTTTCCCTTTTCCATCCCAGGTTATTCCAAAGGACTATAAGACTATGACGGCTCTAGCTAAGGCCATCTCCAAGAACGTCCTCTTCGCTCACCTTGATGACAATGAGAGAAGGTATGACGGGATCTAGGATGTTAGACTGATGACCTAGTTTGGTCATGAAATATCTGCAAGAAAATAACCAAGCTCAGAGAGCACCAAGGACCTCATAGTCCTCCTCCTCCTCCTCCTCCTCCTCCTCCTCCTCCTCCTCCTCCTCTTTGCAAACCCCACTCCCTTCTAAGACTGATGATGGGTATCAAATATCCAGATCGGCTTTCATCCGGAACATAGATTGCATCAAAACTCTTGCCCCAACAAAATTTTCTCCCTGCAATGAACATTTGATCCTATGCTTCACCTCTCAATTCTTTTCACCTGTCCAACGCGCTCTAAAAAAAATTCATACTTTATTATTATTATGATTATTTTAAAGGGCAATGCATTTTTACATTAATCCGGTCAATCCAGCTGCTGGTTCGTGTTAGTGGATTTACAGTATTTTGGAAGAACATGGTTGCCTTCCTTTTTTTTTTTTTTTGGACCCAAACTGCTTTGCATTGTGTGAAACAGCTGGTTAAGTCTCATCCTTACCAAAAAGTAACCGTTTCTAAGGTTTCCAGAAACAAAGGTGGCCTTTGAATGGGCTACAACAGCTGGAGAGATCTGTTGCGTTTGGCGTCTCAGCTGCCCCCATGCACAACGGAGACGGGCAGTAATAGAATATTTTAAGCATTTAGTAATTCCAGATTTGTCATGTTTTAGAAAGATGTCTCATTTTTAAATTTTTCATTTTATCTTATACAAACAATCCATCTTCCGTTTAAACAAGCGTGTCGCCTGGGTACAAGTATCTTGTGCAATGGCAATTACACTTAATTCATTACTATAATATTAATATTCTATTCTTACTATCTAATTATTATAACAACCCCCCATCTTAGCATATCTTTTAGAAAGACGCCTGTGTCTCGGGAGGGAAGGGAATATTGTAGAGGTCACCCTTGATTGACAACAGTTTATTTACCGACTGTTCAAAGTTACAATGACAACGAAAAAAAAGGGTCTTATGACCAGGGATGGGATTCTACCAGTTTCGGTGGACCGGATGTTAAAGTTACAGCTGGTTCACCAAACAACTGGCCCCTCCCCTCCCTCCCCTCCCCTCCTAGGAGTCGCTATGCAGCCCATTTTCGATGTAGGTAAGTGCAGGGTCCGCGCGGAGGCTCTGGGAGGGGGAAAAACAGGCCTTCTGGAAGTCCCGAAACAGGCCTGTTTTCCAGCTTCCGGTGAGCCTCCAGAGGCCAGCGGGGGAGGCCGTTTTCGCCCTCCCAGAGGCCCGGGGGAGGCCTCTGGATCCTTGGGGGGGGTGAAAACGGCCTCCCCCAGGCTCTGGAGGTCCGCCAGAAGCCGGAAACAAGTTCTAATAGGCCCCACCCACCATGGTCCCGCCTACCCAGCAACCGGGCCGCGAACCAGTTGCTGGGATTTTTGAATCCCATCCCTGCTTACGACCCTATTCCACCCAACCCTTGCAGCCTCCCCAGAGGTGGTCTTTAGCCGTTTCTCACCAGTCCTGGAGAACCGGTAGCAGAAATTTTGAGTCGTTCGGAGAACCGGCCAATCCCACCTCTGACTGGACCCGCCTGCATCTCTTCTCCACCTCCCATCGAGTCCCAGCTGATTGGCTGGGTCTTCTTTGGTTGCCCTGCCCAGGAGAATGGAGCTGGAAAGCAGGTTAGTGGGGTGGGGAGGGAAGGGGGATTTTGCAGTATCCTTCCCCTGCCACGCCCACCAAGCCACACCCACAGAACACCACGCGCACCAAGCCAAGCCATACCCACCAAGCCGCACCCACAGAACTGGTATTAAAAAACATTTGAATCCCACCACTGAGCCTCCCACATGCATCACGCGATCAACATTTGGACGGTTGGCAACTAACTCATACGTATGACGGCTGCAAGTGTCCCTGCGGTCCCAGGATCTCCTTTTGTGTCCTTCTGACCAGAAAAATCAAAGGGGAAACCAGATTCACTTAACAACCATGTTTTAGTAAGGGTGACTTCTGGTCAGCAGAGAGTGACCATTTTACTCCTTGCCAGCTGGTGTCACTGTATTCAAGACCATGTTTTGTATTTTTAGAATATTTCCAAAAAAAAAAAGAAAAAAGCAAAGGAAAAATGTATTTGGAGATACCTACCCGCAGTCACAAACTCCAAACACGCGGCTAAAACTTTTTAGTGTGGAGGTCAGAAATAGTCCTGGTGAGAACATGTGTCGTTGTTTTGTTAATACATATGTTTACATTCAAATATATATTTTTTCATTTTCTAATCATCCATTGTTTCACTTTATCATTTCACTGCTAATCATATTTTTATCCATGTTTAATAATACCATCATTCAAGCTCTCATTTTCCAATTAATGCTTATTCATAATTTTTCCATCATTCTCCTATTTCATTCTTCACATTTATTTATATTAAAATATTAAGGGTTCTCCTTTTTGACAACGCACTACGAAAACTGCTGATGGCTTTATTTTTATTAATTTGTAGGCAAAGTTCTCATGTGTCTTGCTTCTAACCAGTGGTGGGATTCAATTTTTTTTACTACTAGTTCTGTGGGTGTGGCTTGGTGGGCGTGGCAGGGGAAGGATAGTGCAAAATTTCCCTTCCCTTCCCACCCCGCTAACCTGCTTTCCTGCTCCGTTGTCCTGTGCAGGGCAACCAAAGGAGACCCAGCCAATCAGCTGGGACACAATGGGAGGCAGAGAAGAGATGGGGGCAGAGCCAGTTAGAGGTGGGATTTGCCAATTCTCTGAATGACTCAAAATTTTGCTACCGGTTCTGAAGAACCGGTCAGAACCGTCTGGATCCCACCTCCAGGGGGGATGCTTTTGTGAAGGCAGAGGGACAGATCTACGGCAGGTGGCGAGGAAGAAGGCAGCTGGCAGTCACATCTGGAGAAATACGCTCTCCGCTCTGCATTCCTGCAGCTGTTTGGCCTGCCTGGTTCTGTTTTTAACATTCGGAGCAGTAGCCTTTCCTCCCACATCATCTGCGATTCTTCTTCCTCCCCGACCTGTCGTTCCAAAGCGAGCCGGGTGGCGTTTTCTTCTGCAGACACCAGGCATTCAGATTAATGGGGATCTCCCCCAGGGAATTGGGATAGAAGCTTGCCTGCATCCTCTTCTTCCAGGTGAAGGCTTGAGAACATTGCTAAAACAGATGGGAAGAATGCCTAAATGTCCCCTTGAATGAACGAGAGGAGGAGGAGGAGGAGGAGGAGGAGGAGGAGGAAGTGGTGGAGATACATGGCCCCAAAGAGGTTGATTTTGGCCTGGAACTTTCTCCCAGATGGGGGGCAGAGGGAAAGGGTGTTGTGTTAGCTAAGACCTGGCTGTAGCAACAAGCGTCTGCCTTTTTTTTTTTTTGGAAATAACATAGACTTTAGGAGAGGGTCATCATTGGATAGGGCACCAAACTGCTTTGTGAGCGTTCCAGATTTGAAATCTCTTAGAGGGGCAAAGAATGGGAAAAGGCTGGTCTTGAAATATTTTTTTTAAATTAATTTTATATCGCAAATTCCATTTCTATATTGAACAGGGTGTTTTCTAGGTATCAAAAGTGTTACAGTATAAATATCATTCTACTTAGTGGTGGTATTCAATTTTGTTTACTACCGGTTCTGTGGGTGTGGCTTGGTGGACGTGCCAGGGGAAGGATACTGCAAAATCCCCATTTCCCTCCCCACCCCACTATCCTGCTTTCCAGTTCAATCTCTTCTTAAAAGCCTCCAGTATTGGAGCATTCACAACTTCTGAAGGCAACCTATTCCACGGATTAATTGTTCTTCCTATCAGGAAATTTCTCCTTAGTTGTTGGTTGCTTCTCTCCTTGATGAGTTTCCATCCATTGCTTCTTGTCCTGCCTTCAGGGGCTTTGGAGAATAGCTTGACCCCCTCTTCTTTGGGGCAGCCCCTCCAATACTGGAATGCTGCTATCAGGTCACCTCTTGTCCTTCTTTTCTCTAGACTAGCCATATCCCAATTCCAATGATGTACCATAGTTAATAAACTAAGCAGGATCTGCTGCTGCATGATTGTTTAAAGAATTTTCCTCCACTCTTCTGCGTATCAAGGATCAATGTATAAAAATTTAAAAAATTGGGGAGATTTGGCCTTGTGTTGTTCTGCTTTGTCAAGGAAGGTCGATGTTGGGTGCTTATGGCTAACTCCCAAACTCAGTTTCGGCTGGCTGTCCCTTGCAGCAAAAGTCAACTTGAACAAAGTCTATGAAACCTCGGCGAGCGGTTGAAAATATCCCTGTGAATCATTTCCTTAAAAATCTCACGTCTAGAATCTTATTTCCGTTTCGCAACAGTCGGGCTTTTATTGCTGGGTTAATCACTTTCTATTTTTTCTCTCGGCTTACTACGTTCTGAGAGGCTTCCTTTTACTGTAAGTCGTCGGCGGTCACAATGGGAGGTGGGACCTTGGCGTGACCTGCACAGATTTTATTTGGATTAGCCCATTCTGGAAGGAGATAAGTGCCCTCTTGGGAATCGTAGTTACCTTCCAGCTTGGTCGCAGAAAGCCATCATCGCTTTGAAAAAGCCCTATATGGCTTGAATCTGAGTTATTCCCGAGAATATTTTCCTGTGTCGGATTTTATTTCCTGGTTTCTTTCTTTATTAGGTTTTTCTTTTACCGTTATTGCTTTGTAAGTAACTCAAGTTGGCGAACTACCTAATAGCAATAGCACTTAGATTTACATATACCACTTCACAGTGCTTTCCTGCCCTCTCTAAGAGGTTTACAGAGTCAGCCTCTTGCCCCCAACAATCTGGGTCCTCATTTTACCCACCTCGGAAGGATGGAAGGCTGAATCTACCTGGAGCCGGTCAGGATCAAACTGATGGCAGTGGGCAGAGCTAGCCTGCAACACTGGATTGTAACAACTGCACCACTATGGCTTCCTTCCTTCCTTCCTTCCTTCCTTCCTTCCTTCCTTCCTTCCTTCCTTCCTTCCTTCCTTCCTTCCTTCCTTCAATACTGCATTCTAACCACT